CCCGAGGTGGAGGGCAGGCAGGGGGTGGGAGGAGGGCATGGGGGAGGGAGTGCCCCCACGGCCTCTGTAGCCCGGAACCCCTCCCTGTTCTCCCTGGGGATGCACCTGCCTTCCCTCCCCCACCTCCAGCCAAATGGTCCAAGTGCAGGCTGGGGCTGGACGACCCACTCATGAGCCCTGCCCCACCACTCTGTGTGACTGTGAGCAAGTCACTTACCTCTGTGTGCCTCAGTCCCCTCACCTGTAAGATGGGGTCACAGTAACACTTCACTCATGGGATTAGGATGGGGTTGACCAAGTTAATACTTTATAAAGCACATAGCAAGGTGCCTGGCACGTACTCGCCTGGCAATAGTGTTAACTCCTGTCGTGATATCGTCCCAGGAGCTTGTGTGACCATAAAAGCTGCCATTTAAGGCACTTACTCCGTCTTTATTGTGTTAAGGTGGGTATAATGTAAAGTTACCATTTTAACTATCTTTGAGGCTACAGTTGAGTGGCATTGATTACATCCACGCTGTGCAGCCATCACCACCATCCGCCTCCAGAACTTTTTTCTCTTTCCAAACTGAAACTCTGTCCCCAAGGGGAACTTCCTGTTCCCCTCGGCCCCGGGTCCCGTCCCTGGCAACCGCCGTTCTACTTTCTGTCTCCATGAGTTTGGCAACTCTGGGTGCCTCAACATAAGGGGAATCACCCAGGATTTGTCCTTCTGTGATTGGCGGATTTCACTGAGCATCGCGTCGCCCAGGCTCACCTGTGCAGCGGCACACGTCAGCACTTCACTTGTTTTCAAGGAGGAGTAATGCATCATTGTAGGGGGAGAGCACATTTTGTTTATCCAGCTGTCTGTCGGTGGACACTTGGGCCGCTGCCACCTTTGGCTGTTGGAATGCTGCTGCTGTAGTTAACTTGGGCGTATACAGACACTTATTCTTGATGTGTTATCTCACGACGTTAACATACGGGAGGCAGGTGTGCTCTGTGCATCCCCATCTGAGCGACAGGCAGCGCGCAGGAGACGCCCGTACAGGGGAGACTGCGGCCGGTACACGGGCGCTTCCTGAGAGGGTAACGAGGCGTGCGAGCCGCGCTCACTCCGGGCTGCGGGCCGCAGCTGAAGGGCAGGGCTTTCCCTCCTTCCATCTTTCCGGTCTGAGTTTGTAACACGCACAGCAGTTTTTTCACACTGCATGAAAGTCCGTTAATAAAGAGAGACCTGCTGCTGTGGTTTCTGCTCCACGACACGTGCTCATAGTAGGTGAGTGGGGAGGCACAGGTACCCAGAGAGGAGTAAGAGGCGCCCCTGACTTCCGTTATTTGCACCCTCCCAGTCTACTGTATTTCCTGCTGAGGGCCACAGGACGGGCCTGGGGGCCTGTCGGGCAGGGAGTCAGGCGAGAAAGCCTCTCTAACGGTTCTAAATGGGCGGCCCATGAGGGGCGGGGTTGGCGAGGCTGGGAGAGCGAGAGCCGGCGGGCAGGCCGCCGGCCGCCGGTGGTGCCCTGCCTCACGGCGTCTCTGCCGGCAGCATCAGAACGGAATGTATGGCCTGCACCAGGATGTCCACCACTTCAGCTCATTCGACCGGGTGCAGAGTCTGCCGCTGCTGCTGGGCCGAGCCGGCATTCGCACAGGTGAGGGGCTCCGGGCGGCCATGGGGGCGGAGAGCAGCTTCCCTCCCTGCCCCGGAGGAGTGAGGCCTGTCCTGAGCTCCCACTGACCCCTGCTCTGAGCATTAGGCCCCAGGGAGCCTCGACCTCCTGGCTGGACCACGGGCACGTGAGAACAAAGGCCCAGCTGCCCTCGTGGAGGCCACGGCTCAGGGGTGGGGGGTTAGGCCCAGGACTTGGGGGGGGTGGAAAAGGGAGCAGAAGGAAGTGGGAGACCGAAGGGCTCAGGACAGGCCTGTCTCTGCGGCTCCAGGCATCATCGGGAAGAAGCACGTGGGGCCAGAGACGGTGTACCCGTTCGACTTTGCGTACACGGAGGAGAATGGCTCTGTCCTCCAGGTGGGGCGGAACATCACTAGAATTAAACTGCTGGTCCAGAAATTCCTGCAGACTCGGGACGACAGGTGCGAGGAGGGCCCCGCCCCTTTCCTGACCCCTCTCCCCCCTCCCACAGCCAGACCTCTGGGCGCTTAATATGTGATGCAGATCCCGGAGTCTGGTCGGGACTCGTGGAGTCCCCAGACAGCTGGGGTGAGGTGGGGGAGGTTCCAGATACTCAAGTCGACCTGGCCAGAGGAGGAGGGGATGTGGGGAAACTGAGGCAGTGCCGATCATGGGGATGCTCTCAGTTGTAGGGGAGGAGACAAAACTGAGGGGTGTTCCTTCCCAAAGGGTGGGGCTCCCCAAGGTAGAAGCCAGATAGGGGTCAACCGTCTGACCTTGACCTCAGTGCTCAAGCCCATCCCTCCATGTGCAGGCCTTTCTTCCTCTACGTCGCCTTCCACGACCCCCACCGCTGTGGGCACTCGCAGCCACAGTATGGGGCCTTCTGTGAGAAGTTTGGCAACGGGGAGAGCGGCATGGGGCGGATCCCAGACTGGACGCCCCAGATCTACGACCCGCAGGATGTGCAGGTGGGAGGGCCAGCCCCTCACCATGTTCCCAAGATGCCCGACCGTCTTGCATCCTTGGCCTTGTAAATCTGGGGACCAGCGCCCCTCCCGTGGGCTTGCAGCCTGGCCCCAGGTGTGTAATGAGAGACCCTCCAACTCACGGCAGCCAGGCCCCCGTCTGGGGGTGGTACCCAGAAGAGTGCATATTCCGGGCTGATCCATTCTAGAAGGAAGATGACTTCGGGCCCCGGGAGGGAGGCTGGCACCTGCCTCTCCTGCCCCAATTCAAAGGCTAGTCACTGTCCTCCCCAACCTATCTGTTGTAACGTTGACTTTCCACCCACCTGCCCCGTCCCAGGTGCCTTACTTCGTCCCTGACACCCCGGCAGCCCGAGCTGACCTGGCCGCTCAGTACACCACCATCGGCCGCATGGACCAAGGTGGGGTCAAGGAGCGCAGGCGGTGGCATAGGGTGCAGCTCTGGCCCCCGTCTTGGGCTGGAAGCCGGAAGTCATGGTGTCAAGGGGCTGTGTTCCCTCTGGGGCCTCTGGGGGCAGGTCCTTCCTCCCTTTCCCAGCTTCTGGTGGCCCAGGTGCTCCCTGGCCTGTGGCTGCATCCCTCCAGTCTGTGCCTTGTCGCCACGTGACTCCTCTGTGTCTTCTCTTGTTCTGTCTCGGTTTTTCCTGTAGAGACACTTGTCATGGGATTTAGGGCACACCTAGGTACTTCAGGGTGACATCTTGAGACCTGTGACTTAACTGCATCTGCAAAGACCCTCTTTCCAAATAAGGTCACATTCACAGGTTCCAGGTGGACATACCTTTCAGGGGGACCATCATTCAACCCCCTGTAGGTGGTTGGTGCCTTTATAGTTTTCCTGTTGGTGCCATTACTTCACGGGGACCTGCAAAGGGGGTGGGCAAGAGGGAATCCCGTGTTCTGGCCTCGCCCAAGACCATCCCTGTTAGTTCTATGGGGTAGACGTGAGACTCCAGGAAACACAGAAACCAGCGTGTGGCAGGTAGCAGGTGCGTGAGGGTGACATGAAAGTGCCAGGGGATGGCTGGGGTCCCTGGATGGGGTGCTCGGGTGGAGGCCGAGCAAGTCCTGCTCCAGGACAGGGCACTGGGTAGAGTGTTGGGCGGGAGGCCTGGGCTGGTGGGAAGGATGGCCCGGGTGATCGAGGGAGATGACGGCACGGGGTCCAGTGGCCGATGGTGAAGCGGGCGAGTGCCCGCATGTTCCAGTGCCACCACGCCTGCCTGTGCTGAGCGCTGCTCCCCCTCCGCACCCCGCAGGGATCGGACTTGTGCTCCAGGAGCTGCGTGGAGCGGGCGTCCTGAATGACACCCTGGTGATCTTCACATCCGACAACGGAGTCCCCTTCCCCAGCGGCAGGACCAACCTGTACTGGCCGGGCACGGCGGAGCCCTTGCTGGTGTCGTCCCCAGAGCACCCGCAGCGCTGGGGCCAGGCCAGCGAGGCCTATGTGAGCCTCCTAGGTACGACTGTGCCTCCCGCAGCAGGGCCGAGGCGGGTGTGCGCGCCACCTGCGTGAGGAGGGGACGGCTGTCACCACCTACAGGTGCAGATGCATGGCTCGGGTGAAGTGCGCGGCCAAAGGCCGCACAGCTCACAAGCACCGAGCTTGGCTTCTGGTCTGGGTCTCACCGCCTTCACACCTGTTGTTTCTCGGCTGGCCCGCTGGTAGGCGTCAGCCACCCGGAGCCCTTGGTAGCATCCAGAGGTACCCCCCAGGGTGTGGTTCAGTAGGTGTGGAGTGGGGCCTAAGAATTTGCATTTCTGACGAGTTTCTAAGTGACAATGATGCTACAGGTCCCTCCACCCCACTCTGAGCGGTCAGGGCAGCAGGGTGCTTGGGCCCCCGTGGCTCAGGGCTCACGTCTCCCTTTGGCTCCAAAGCACAAGTCGGGGAGCACTGTGGCCACAGCACAGCACAGGAACGGCCCCTGCACGGTCCTCAGGGTCTTAGAGGGGTACTGGGTGCCACCAAGGTGGGCCTTTCCCTATGCCATCGAAGGCACCACGGCACAGAGATGACACAGCAGTGACAGGCTGGCCCGTGGCAGCTTCTCCCTGTTGGTGACGTGGTGTGTGAGGCGGCCCACCAGCTTTCCAGAGTGGCTGGGATGCAGCCCTTCTGTGGGGGTGGGCCTTGCCCCTGGAGGGCCCACACCCTGAGATGCCGCCTCCTTTCCAGACCTCACGCCCACCATCTTGGATTGGTTCTCCATCCCCTACCCCAGCTATGCCATCTTCGGCTTGAAGACCGTCCAGCTCACTGGCCAGTCCCTGCTGCCAGCGCTGGAGGCAGAGCCCCTCTGGACCACGGTCTTTGGCAGCCAGAGCCACCACGAGGTCACCATGTCCTACCCCATGCGCTCCGTGTACCACCAGAACTTCCACCTTGTGCACAACCTCCACTTCAAGATGCCCTTTCCCGTCGACCAGGACTTCTATGTGTCGCCAACCTTCCAGGACCTCCTGAATCGCAGCACGGCCGGCCAGCCCACGGGCTGGTACAAGGACCTGCACTGCTACTACTACCGGGAGCGCTGGGAGCTCTACGACAGGGCCCGGGACCCCCGCGAGACCCGGAACCTGGCCGCCGACCCGCGCTACGCCCAGGTTCTGGGACTGCTGCAGACCCAACTGGCCAAGTGGCAGTGGGAGACCCACGACCCCTGGGTGTGTGCCCCCGACGGCGTGCTGGAGGAGAAGCTGTCCCCCCAGTGCCGGCCGCTCCACAACGAGCTGTGAGGCCCAGCCCGCCCCCACGGCCGGGGCCCCGCTGTCCTGGGTCTGAGCCATGTCCCGGCACAGGCATCTCGGGGCGCACCCGGCTGGGGCAGGGTCCCCAGCCCGTGACGAGGCGAGGGCGGTCTGGGGGCCTGCAGGAAGAAGGGGCTTCAGAGCCTCTTGGTTCTTTGGAACCCACAGACGCTCCTGTGCCCTCCACCTAAGGGGATGCAGGCTTCCGAGTGCCACAGGGGCGGAGGGCGGGAGCAGACCTCACTCGCTGTGGGGACAGCGTCTGTCTGTCAGCCCTGGTCTGACAAGCCCGAGCTTGTCTTTGTCCTTTGCCTTGCCCACAGCCCGGCCCCGCCCCTCGGGCTGGGCTCCCCGAGGCCGCTGATTCTTGGCGGGCTCCCTGAGGGCTGAGTTCTAGCCTGGGGTCTGCAGTGGCCGAGCTTGTCCTTTTTGAGAGTCCAGGGATGAAAACACCCCATCCTCCAGCTGGGCCAGTTCTGCTTGGATGAACACAAGTCTGTGGCACAGACGTGGCTCACGGAATGCTCTAGACCTGCCCTGCCTCCATCCACCCGGGAGCAGAGGCTCCGCCAGGGAAAACCCAGAGAGGGGGCTTTTTCTCTTGAGTGGGTGGGCTCCCACCCCCATCAACTCCATCCTTGGAGGCATGAGGAGGAAGCCGCAGGCCAGAGCATTGTAAAAGCTTTCTATTTTAATAAAATATGCCAAAGTTCATTTTCTAAATTTATTATGCCTCGGGGGGGCATCAGTGGGGGCTCTGCTCTGTCCACACAACCGTCTTCTGCTCGTCTGCGATGGCCAGGCGGACACAGCCAAGCAGGGCGTCCAGGTCGCTCCAGCTGTCGGGGGCCAGGCTGCTGTACAGACAGGGCGCCTTGTCCAGCTCGCCCTCCTCCTGCCTGGCGGCCTCCAGGAGCTGGTCCTCCGTGGTGCCAAGCCGCTGCAGGGCCTTCCTGCAGGGGCCAGAGACAGGAGGGCAGCTTGGGGAGAGCAGCACGCTGGCCTCCCAGCACAGAGCCCCAGGAATTAGACACTGGCTCGGAATTCTCGGAATCCGGACGGACCAATGATGCAGAAGCTGCCCAGACGCCCCTGGACGCAGCAGCCTGCTTCAGGGGCGCCCAGTGCTTCATGAAGATGCTGTGACTCAGGCCCCAGAAGACGTGCGCTGACTGGGGGCAGGGGTCTAGTTTATAGCCTCAGTCCTCAGCTTGTAACGAGGGCAGCGGGACGTCTGGCTTTGCCCTAGCCCTGATCCAAGTTGGGGCTCTCAGCCTGCGTCCTCCCCTGACACGACTGACTGCCAGCTGCACCCCAGGAAACGTGTGGCCTTGGCCAAGGTCAGGCAGGTTCTAGGGTCTCACCTCGCTCTGGGTCGCTCCCCGGGCATGAGCCGTACGGCCTTTGTCCTGGGTGTTGTGGGGGAACTGCCCTGTGACACTTCGGGGGCTGGCAAGGGTGAGTTCCTGAGAACTGTCATGGGCTCTGGACGTGCTCACCGTGGGCCTTACAGTGAGGTCCGGCGCCCGTTCTGACCCCCCCCCACCAGCCCCCAGGGGGGTGCCTACTTGAATTTCTTTGCCACCTTCTCATTGATGGAGACGTGGATGATGATGGGGAAGACTTCCATCTTGTGCAGGACACAGATGCTGTCCAGCCGGACATCCAGGAGGGCGTGGGTGTTCTGGAGGGGAGAAGTGGGTCAAAATCATGTGCCCCAGAGGGAGCGAGGGAGGCCCACACCTGGGAGTGACGCTGAGAGAGGGGAGAGAAAGGTCAGGTAGGACGGAAGTTTGTAAGGAGAACGGGAAGAGAATTCGGGAATGCCCCTTTGTGCAAGGGTGCTTGCTGTACAGTTTTAAAAGTTTCCATCCATTTGACTTTTCACTTGGGAAGTCTAGACATCACAGGCCATTGGGACTGAGACTGCGTGGAGCTCAAACTCCAGGAGCCAGACGGCTCCGTCAACCCCCTTGGGAGTGGGGGGGGGGATGGGGCCGTCCCGCCTCCGACTCAGCTGCCCCAGCTCTTTGAATCCGTATAAACTCCACTGCTTCCAGCGAGCTGCTTAACGCGCACGCTGGGACTTAGGAGGGCCGTCTCCATCCTACTCATTACAGGTGTTTATTGAACGCTCCCTGCTGCAGAGGAAGAGGCTCAGGGGAGCGAAGAGGCTCGCCCAAGATCACGTGGATTCCAGGTGGCAGAAGCAGGGTGTGTCTTTCTGGGATGGAACCAGACACGAGCTGAGCACTAACCTGGGGCGTCCGGGGGCCCTAGCGGTTGGCCTTTCCTGCCCTTTCCCACCGCCCTCCTCTAGAGCCCCCCCTACCTCTTACCTTTTCCATGAGGGACTCGACTGCTCTGCGGGTCACACAGTAGTGGCCACCGGGTGCCTCCCTCTCCTGGATGATGTCCCCTCTCTGGCAGGAGGTGTCATACTCCTCCTGGCTCAGGTACTCTGCAGGTGACAGTTGATGGATGTCACACACCCAGCTATTCCCGCAGGAGCCCGTGCCAAACACCCCCACCCCCATGGACCCACACCAGCTCTGGGAAGCCCTTCCTGCGTGCCCCTGCTCTTCCCACTCCCAGGAGTCTGTGCCCAGCACATTCACCCTAAACCATCAGACACAGCAGGTGCACAGTCAGTGCCAGGACATGGGTGGATGGTTGGAAGGAAGGAAGGAAGGAGGGACAGATGTAGATAACCCCTCTCCCATCACTTTCCAGGCTCCAAACTCACATATCCAACTTCCTGCATCCAGAAATCCCTCTGATTTCAAATCACTGGTTCTCATCCAGGGGTACTTTTGTCCCCAGTGTGCTCTCCTCCTGGCCTCCACCTTCCAAAGTACCCCCAGATCCTGGTGATCCCAGCTTGCAGATGGCGCTCAGGGCTGCCCTTGCCTCCTGACTGTGGCTTTGCTGCACCCCCTCTGGCTCCCGGCATTCTGGTGGTCCTCAGCTCATCTCCCAGCCCCTAGCCATGCCCTTCTCCAAGCCATCTTCACCACAGGCATTCAAGGACCAGGCCCGGTCTTGTCTCCTTGCCTGTTACACAACACGGCACGTCCGGGTGCCTGCCCCCGCCCCCATCATGCCACCTGCGCCTCGGTGCCCTTGCACATTCTGCTCCCTTAGCCTGGACTGCCTTGTTCTGCTCACGAACTCTGCCAGCCCGTCAGATCACAGCCTCCATCCCTCCCCCCTCCCAGGACTCCCGCTTCCGGCCATCACGGAGCTTAAGCCGTGTCTTTAGGTGTTTTTCTCCAGCGGCGCAGAACAGACCTCCGAGGGCCTCTTGAACTCCCTGTCTCTAGCCCCCTACACAGAGCCTGGCACACAGCCGGTGCTCGCTGGAGGAACCTCGTGGACCAAGCCCGCTGCCCTCTGTCCCCTCTGGACTCCAGCAGGGACGGGCAGGCCCTGTTCACACTCAGGCTGTGACACAGCTCTCCCTGGAGCCACCATGGGGTGGGGGTGGGTGGGCAGATGAAAGCGCCAAGGAGCTAACTCCCTCTCCAACCTGCCAAACCACCTTTCCTGCTGAGCAGGGACACTCAGGCTCTGTCCCCTGGGACCCAGGATCCCCAGTGGCCATTCTGTCTCCATGGCTCTACACGGATTGGCTTTGGGCAGGAGGACAGAGCCATACAGCTCTGGCCGTACAGCTCCATTAGGTACAAGCCTATCTGCCACCAGTAGCCGCTCTGGGTGGAATGGCAGCCCCCCAAATCCACGTCCACCTGAAAGCTCAGAAGGCAGCCTTTGTTGGAAACAGGGTTTTACACACGGAGCTAGTTAGGATGGGGTCACACAGGAGCAGGGTGGCCCTAAGTCCAGTGACTGGTTCCTTGTAAGAAGATCGTGCGAAGACAGAGAGGCGAGGAGGCGGAGGCTGGAGCAACGCAACCCCAGGCCGCCAGAGCAGGAAGGGGCCGGAGGGCGCGCCCCTAGGGCCTTCGGGGGGAGGGCGGCCTGTGGGGGCGTCCTGATTCCGGACTTCTGGCCTCCAGAACCGTGAGACAATAAATCTCTGCCTTTCTAGCCCCCTACTTGGTGGTCCTTGTCACGGCTGCCCTGCGACCTCCTCTGGCCATGCTGCCCTCCTGAAAGCAGGCATGGAGTGCTGCGGAGGCCCTGCCCGCCAGCCACCAGCCAGGCGGGACTCCCAGCTGAGCGCCTACCTGCTAGGCATCTCTTAAACCCGTGGAGGAGGCACAGCTTCTTGATCAGGATCTCCCCGACTACCCCGGGCACGAAGAGCACGGGCCGGGCCTGGCTGGGCCGGCGGGGGTGCACCAGGGTGTAGGGCACCAGGGTGAAGCAGCTCTCGGCCCAGAAGCCCATGGTGGGGGGCTCTGCAGGGAGAAGAGCTGTGAGCAACTGGGCCAGGCCGCTCCCTCGCGTCACCAGGTCCCCGGCCCCACCCCCGAGGGACGCGTCTGCTTTGTGTGCTGGTGCAGCCCCAGCAACTGCAGGGCCACACGGGGTCTGGCACGATGCACTGTGCGCTCCACACCAACCGTGGTTGAGCGATTCCCTTGTGCCGGCTGACCAGATGCCCCGTGGTTCCCCAGAAACAGCTCTGCAAGCTGCAGTTCAAGCTGTTCTCCTCATTTGGCCCACAAGGAGGATAGAAGCCCACTTTCTTCCTTCTAAACGATCTGGAAACCTCCTGTGTTGTCAGCCCTGGCCTCCAAGGACTCAACCCCATTCCTTCCCTCTCTCCTGAGTCCCTCCTCTCTGCTCCTGGTCATCCAGGTTAGATTACGCACTCAGAAAACTTTTCAAGGAGAACATTCACCTTCCTCTAAATTCACTTCCGCTCATCTTCCTGCACAGTTTTACCTGCTCGGGGGTCCGGGCTGTGCTGGCCTCTGTCACGGCCTCATGCCCACACCCGTCCCTCAGCAGCTGTCTGAGGGGTTCACTGGTTTGTGCAACGCTGGGCACTTGGAGGGAGTTCACGCTGCACTATTCTAAAGGGACTGCTGACCACATGATCGTACCAGTGGCTTCAGACTGTTTTATCAGGGTGGGTTACAAGAAGTACAGGAGTGCTGGTTAAAGGACACTGAAGTTGTGCACCTCAACTGCTCTCCAGAAAGACACACAGACATCAGTTATGATTCTTAAAACACTGACTCTGGCCTAGGTGAGTGGGGTCACCCTGACCCAGCTGACCAACCAGAGCAACTCCCGGAGACCCTCCACCAGCTCCACCCACCTCACCTTCTGCCCAGCTCGGGTCCAACTGGCCCCCGTCAAAGGATGACCACAGAGGGGTGGCCTTGGTTCGGTCCACACTGACGATGCGGACCAACTTTCGGGCTCCCCCAGAAGGCTGCTGGATGGGGGAGAAGGGACGTCCACACAGGGCTGGGGGCCTGGTACCCCACCCCCAGCAAACCCAGGGTGGTCCCTGGACCTCCAGGCTGTGCCTGTCTTCCAGCCCACCCCAGGTGGGACCCTCTGAGTGGAAGGCAGGGTCGACTGGGCCCCTGCGTCCAGATGATGTGAGCCTGGGGAGGAGGAAGGCCATGGGAGAGAGGCAAGGCCCACCCGAGTGGGACCTGGCATCCAGGATCTGGGCTGGCCGGGTGAGCTTGCCGCCTCACCTTGCGGGCGATGGTGCTCTGATGAGCCATGTCCTGGATGAGGCCGATGAGCAGCTGCTGGGCTCTGCACAGAGGAGGACGCCCCGGCCCAGCTTCAGGGAGGGCTGGGCAGGAGAGGACGCCCCGGCCCGGCCGTGGGGAGGGCTGGGCGGGAGAGGACACCCTGGCCCAGTGTGCCAGGACACCCCCCTGCACAGGCCATAGTTATCCTCCCCAGAGGCCACTACAGCCCTCTGGGCTTGTAAAAACCTGCAGAGCATCCACCCAGCCCTGGAGATGCTAGCTGAGTTGTCCTGAGGTGGGACCTGGCTGACGCAGTGTGAGCAGGCCGGAGGCCAGTGCTCCAGAACCTCACTTCTCCCGGTGTGGCCTGTGGACTTCAGCCTGGCATCACCCAGAGACCGTGCTGGAAATGCAGTCTCAGGCCTCTCCCTGCCCCCGCTGAGTCTGACCTCCAGGTGACAAAATCTGTACTGAGCCGGACAAGACACTGCGCTCTGCGCCCCATGGCGGATCCAGAACGTGGTTCTGCGTCGGGGAGACGCTGCTCCCAGGAGGGCGCCGGCTGGCCCGGCTGGCCCAAGACTCGGGGTTGCCCGGGATATGGGGTTTTCTGTGCTAAAATCAAGACAGCCCTGGACACACCAGCTCGATGGGTCACCTACCCCCAGGGTGCACTGGAGACATCACTGGTTGTCACACCTGGGGCGAGGGGCACTACTGGCACCCAGTGGGTGGGGGCCAGGATGCCACTCAACATCCTGCACTGACCTGGACGGCCCCCCAGGACGAAGAGTGAGCCAGCTCCAAATGTCAGTACTGCTGAGGGAGAGAAACTGGTCCTGAATGCTCTAGAGTGCTCTGGGACTGAGGTCCATCCCTTCTCACAAAGCCCCGTCTAAGCAGTGAACGTGGCATTCCACTTCTTTGAGGCACCCCACCCTCTACCCCTGGGCAGTGGAGGGAGCCTCAGGAAGGCTGTCCCTCCCGGGCAGGAGGGGACCCCCATGCTAAGTGAGACCACACAGAGCCACCCCTCTGGGGGAAGGGGTGGGGCCCACGATGGCCACTCACCTCGTGTAGTTGGGGACAGCGCCATGTTCGGTGCCCTTGGTACATTGGGGGCTGACACGGTGGGCATGCCAGCAGCTGCCCCCCTGGAACAGCGTGTCCGTGATGTGCAGGACGTCGTTGCAGTGCACCTGCAGCTCCCCCTCTGCCCGCCCCTCCATGGCCAGGTTGACCCGGATGTAGAAGGAGTCCCCTGACGTGGCCACTTTGGCCTCCATGTCCTGGACCAGCTTCTTATAACCTGATCAAAGAGGACATGAGGACAGGTAACCCTGGGGCCGGATCCCCCGAGAGGATGGTTCTGCCCCGAGAGCTTCTGCAGACTCGGGACCCAGCCTGGCTCTGGAATGTGCAGGGAGCCTTGGCATTGGTGGTCTCTAGGGGAAGGGGAGGGGGCTGAGGACTGTGTACCTTCCATGTTGACCTTCACAGACAGGCAGCAGAAGCCGTTCACCCTCTGGAGAAGTCTGACGGCTCGCTCCAGGGTCATGCCCTCCAGGACGACCTTGGACAAGGGCTCCGTTTCCACCTGAGGGCAAATCTCGAGGGTCACTGCTTTGATCACGGTTCTGCAGCCACAGTCTGAGCGTAGGCGTGTGCCCTGCAGGAGACCCACTCCTTCCCGGACACCCCCACGCACCCTCAGAGCCTTCATCTATCACCCGCCCGGCGTCGGGATGTCTTGGTGCAGCGCCTCCAGGCTACACACCTTCCGCCAGAGATCGTGTACTGAGATGGCCCCTGCGCCCCGAGTTCCTGCCCTATGACATGCTCCGTTCCAGAGCAGCGTTCAGCCTGGGACTACTGACATCTGGGGCCACCATGGGCCCTGCAGGATGTTTTGTGGCATCCCTGGCCTCCAGGCACCAGCTGCCAGGGCACCCCTCAGGCCACCACGTCCCCAGCTGTGAAACCCACGGGGCTCTCATCCACTCACTCGTTCCTGGTGGTGTTTCAGTTTAGGAGAGTACATGTTTTTATGAGAAAAAAATGTGTTTCTAACACCGTTAGAACCGAACTGGCCCCATTGGGATATCAGGACTGTCTCATAAAGGGGCTCCGTTGCTGTAACCACAACGTGAGCTGATAATCGCGAACCTCTAGGACTCTCAGAAACGTGACGAGGGGCCTGTGTCGTGGGGCGGTGGGGGGGGGTCAGACTACCTACCGGGTGACACTCACATCAGGAGCTCCACATGTGACCATTCAAGAACTCGGCTTGGCACATGGACAGCAAGGGGGAAGCTGTGGGGTTCGCAGGACTCCTGACCGGGGCACAGCCCCTCCCTGTCCACCCAGCACTCACCTTCATGCCCTACACCCCACCCCCCGGTCGGGCCTCAGGAATGGGTGACGTCTGTTTGCTCATTTTTCTATTCTTAGAAGCTTGAAGTTTAATGATTCTGCTTTTCGGCTCCATCAAAGTCACCTCCCTGTCCATGTGTCTGCTTAATACTATAATTAGTTAAGTTGTACACTTAGGTTTTCTACAATTTAATGAATATTTTACAATAAAAAAGTTGTAAAATGCCCCCAATAGTTAAAATTGTGAGTTTTGTTACATGTCTTTTCACACACACACACACACACACACTGACAGTGAACAGTTTACAGTTTAAAAGAAAAGCCCCCATCAGAATCGTACACGGCCTTTGTCGAAAGATCCCTGGGTCAAGACTGCCGCAGCCCACAGCCCTCTCAACGCGCCGGCCCAGCCTTGCTCGGCTCGCAAGTCCACCCTCCGGGCCCAAGGACGTCGGCCTACAGGAGGGTGCATGGGCCTGGTGAGAGTCCCTGGGGCTCTCCTCTAAGTGGGTGTGACGCTCTGCTTTCCATCAGCCCGAGAAGGAGCTCGGGCCATGCCGACAACACACCTTCATCAAGCTGGGTCTGCGGCTGCCGCTACCGCCCCTGAGAGGATGCCGGGCTCCAGGGAGCACTCACCATCGTGATCTGGGTGCCAGGGCGCAAGGCCATCTGGTCGGCCGCGGAGCCTGGTGTGACCCGGTGAATGAAGATGCCTGTGAGGTTCCCACCAATGACGCTTATCTGCTCCAGCAGCGCATCCCCCTGGAAGGCCAGCACCGTGACCTGGCTCAGGATCTTGCGGGCCAGCCTCCGCCGCACCGGGACGCTGCTGTGGGAGGGGAGGGGTACGAGCTCACAAGGCCCAGTGCAGGAGTGGGGCCAGGCAGTCGGGCCAGGCAGTCGGGCCAGGCCGCCTCCCCATTGGCCCTCTAGCCCAGCATTCTGGAATTTTCCTTCCCCCTCCTTGACCTCATCCTCAGAAAGGCTGTCACCTCCCAACAGTGATGGAACACAGCCCTTGCTCTGCTCTGCCACCTGCTGGCCCTGGCCCCCACCCTCTGCTCACCTGGCGGAGAGGCAGGGGTCCCCAGAGGACGGCTGCAGGCTGTTTTCAGACTCCGGAAGGTCTAGGAGGAAGCTGGGCTTAGACACGGAGCCAGGTTGGCCCCCCAGGTCTCCCTACTCCTGACGGAGCTTCGGCTCACCTGTGTAGCTCCAGTGCCCACCCCCAGCCACGAGCACCCCCTACCTGTCCTTTCAGGGAAGCTGAACCTTCCCCTCCGCCTCCCTTCCTTGATGTCTAGAATCCTGACTCACCTCCCTCAGAGCAGGAGTAGCCCATGAAGAGTTGCACCTGCCAGGGTCTGACCTACATCGCGTCCCTTTGCGATATTCGAATGAGTTGCCAACATTTTATAAGACAGGGAATCTGGAGCGTGGATTTCTGGCTTCACTTGAAAAATCAAATCAAGTGTAGCCCTGGGTCCCTACTTCTGTGTGGCAGCCATCGCCAGCACGCCCCAGGCCACACTGCCGCCTAGCTGGCTGTGGCAGGCCCCTCAGTTAGCAGTCCCAGGACTAGAGGCCCCAGGGTCTCACCTAGGCCTGTATGTGGCCTGTGAGGCATCAGCCTTCCTGCAGGTGAGGCTCCCCTCCTCACCTCCCGAGCTGCTCCCGAGGACCAGGGGCCGGCAGCCTGCGCCCAGCTCACAGGCACATGTCCACTCGTGCTTACATTCAAAGCCGAGTGAAATTATATGTTCCTGACGTACTTGAGGTCAGTTCCACTAAAAGCATGTGAATCAGGACATTACACAGAATCACGACAAAGGACAATAAAGAGCAACGACTTCCCTGCTCCTGATCTCACATTCAGGTCAGTTCTGCCTTGGGCAGATCCTCTCCGTTGATTCCAGTTATAAATAAAATGGCAATGAATTTGGGAGAGGTAAGGTTTCTGCTCATGTGACCCACAAAAAGCCTCAGGCCTCGGCCCTAAAGGCGCCACCACGCAGAACAGTATGGGGTACTCGCGCCCCCTGCCAGCCGTGGGGTGAAATCCAGACAGGAGCTAAGAGCCTACTGTGTGCAAGGCCCAAGGCTGGGGCAGATGTGTGGGGGTGGGGGGGAAAGCAAAGGGGCTGCCCATGTGGGGCCCAAGCCTTGAGAAGGAGGGAGGACCACTCAAGTCAGAAGCATGAGGACTAAGCCGCAGGAGAGATGGCAGGTCTCAGGAGGGAGGACCACTCGAGTCAGAAGC